GTTTTAATAAATTGCAATAAGATTTGATTAAAATACTCTCAGTTGACAGAGTTCAGACAAGATTTTTTTTAAAATATCGATACTTCAAGAAAAATTCAACTGCAATTTTGAGATGGGGAGGACATAGGCTGAGGTGTCACGTCATTTTATGGGGGGTCTGTCTTTTTGTGACGATGTGTGACGGAGGGGAAGGGGGAGGTAAAAATCGCCCCAAAAAGCGTGACGTCATTTATGGATGACCCCTAAGGTAGGGTTAGGGATAAGGCCTTAGAACTGTCTTTAAACTTGCGTGTTCACTTACCATTTCATTATTGCTTGAAATGCTTACCTTTTTTTCCCCAGTTACTCGTGATTTTTTTAATTGGTTCTTGTTTTTCACAAGGGACAATTGCTAATGAAGGTAATTAATTTTAAAGTTAAAGCTATTTAACAGTTTAAAAAAGCAGTGGTCCATAATGTAATACATTTTTTTGTAGTAAGCACAAAAAAAAATTAACATAATTTTTCTTAATTCACCATGTGTGTTTACTTTTTTTTTTTTTTTTTTTTTTTTTTTTTTGCTATTTTGGAATCAAAATTAAATATTTTAAGCCATGTTTTAGTCTTCTTAACTGGACTTCAAAGTCCCAGTCATCGAGATGGAACTAGAAAATGCATTTGCTCAGCTGAGCCTTTTCAAAAATCCAAAGTAGTGTACTTATTTTAACGAATTTTATTTATTTATAAAGTACTTATGGTAATGTTTGTAAACATTTGTGAAGGATAGGATTCTAGAAGCGAATGATGTTAACCTACACATCTTACATGTGGTGCCACTTTATGCCATGACTGTGGTGTTGGGTATACAATTGAAGCAGAGATATATTCTTCCCATTAGTATGCAGATACAAGTTATCAGTACTATGTGTGAACATAAGTTCTTTAAATAGTTTTTAAATATATGACTGCCTTACTATGGAAACTGCAAAGAATAGCAGTCATGTCGTATATAGGCGCTTTCCTCCACCACGCCGATCACAATATATGCGCCTTTTAATTAGTCCATAGTGAGGTACAAACGCCAATAAGATAGGCGCCTTACAGAGAGGTGGCGATGACAAAATAACCAACAGTTAACAGGGCCTACATACGCCGACCACAAGATAGGCCTTTTCGAATTTTCCTTTTAAAAAACCGCGCCACTTTTCTAACACTGCTCGCAGGTGGAGCGCCCGCTCCCGTTCGCCTCCCCTGGACACGCCACTATGCCACCAGGTCTTGCATGTCGGAGGTTCCCAAACGTATTCAAGTGGCGGCCCCTTTTTATAAAAGCCAAGTGACTGCGACTCTCATACAATAAAACTAAGAACATTTTGGTTTTATTTAGTCTACACGCCGGTTACTTGTTATCTGGGAGGGGGAGGGGAGAAAACCCTTCGCAAAACCCACTCTAAATGTTTCAAAACTCAAAACTAAACTTTTTTTTTTTTACATTTCAGCCCCAGCACCAAATATATTACAATTGTTACTGTAAGTATTGAGGCGATATGACTTTTCTGTAGGCTGTTGTTATACTACTTACTTTAACGACCTTGCTTTGCGTGGCTTTAAAAACTGAAGACTGAAAATGAGTAGATAAACCCTGCAACAGTAGATCTATAGGCCTATACTATAACCTTTTTTTAGGAACTGATCTTAGTAATGTATTTTTATTTTATTTTACAAAGACGCATTTCTACCTAACCGATTTAATTTAAATATGCTTACATAAGTCGGGGAAGATTAGTTAAATTAATAGAAAATATGAGGGGGGGGGGGCGTAAAATTGCTATAAAAACGGGAGTCATCGTAGTGAAGATTTTTTTTTCTGCAATAAAATCTATAGCCCTTAAAATGCTCAGTGATTATTATTATAAGCTCATACTCAACTTGCTTCCTCTGTCTGTCAAACGAAATTTCGAGCACTACTTACTGACCGATTCGTTTCAAACTTGGCACGTGGGTCAAGACCCAAAGACAATGAAAGCTGACAACAACTTTGACTTAATTGGATGCCTAATACATTTTTTAATGAATAAATTAAAATGTTCTGAAATTGTTAGGGTGCCATTACATCAGTAATGTAAGTCTACACCAAATTGATAAGACAAATACAAAAACCTTTATAATAAGTAAAAAAAATAAGCATTTAAATTCACAGTGAATAAGAAAACAGAACAAACTTGTTTTCTTTAAATTAGTTTAAATAGTTTAATAAAAGCTTTGGTCGCTCATGGGATGTCTATCATTTGTTATCAACCAAAGCTTTTATTAATGAAAGGTTGTTTTGTTTTTCATTTTAGTGCATTTAAAAGCTTGTTATTATAAAGGTTTTTTATAGTTGTTTTATCTTCCACTTTTTAGTAATTTGTTTTAGATGAAGTTGACATAGACTATGAATAAAAATATTTGCTTTAAAATGCTAAATGCAATCCCTGGAATCTGCTCCTTAGTCGACATCATGGGATTGTGACGGGTATGAAAAATGAGGAAGGATACAACAGGCGCTAGGTTGATAGTGCTGTCTCTTTTCTCTAAACTAAAACCAAAACCACCACCTTAATTAAATTTAACCGGAAACGAAAAATGACATTGAAAACGGATTTTTATCCAGAATTGTCATTTTTATCACATTTAAGCTTGATCTACACGTAGTTATCGCGCATTTATACTAAGTATGCTAAATATATTTAATATGGTCGTAGCCATACCTCTAAACAATGCACCTAATCTTAATCATGACAAAAGTCGCATTTAGAGTTTCTTTCAGCCCCCCCCCCCCCCCCCCCCACACACACACATCAATTCACCTCTACCGTCCCATTCAACCATTTATAATTATATACTTTTTCCAGTCCGTCCCTTCACAGAAAATTCCACCCCGCCCCCGAAAATTTCAAGCACTCCCACCGGGGAGGAAAACTGTCTGAAAGAAACACTGGTAGCATTTGTTGATCATACAAACTAATGGTAGAGCCTGGGTGGGGCTTCGCCCCTACCGGAAGAGATGCATGAAAGAAACTGTGCATGCTTAACACTTAGATTAGAAAATTTCAAGTTCCCCCACCCCTCTCCTGGGAGGAAAAAGTCTGAAAGAAACACTGGTCGTATTTGTAGATCATACAAACTGAAGGTAGAGCCTACTTCTATAATTTAAACTCGTTACATCGTTTCCTACTTTTGGCCGATAAACCTCACTCTCGCAGACAGTGTTTCTTTCGGATATTTTTCTGGGGGTGGGCACTTGAATTTTTGCAGAGGCGAATAAAATTATCCGGGGCGGGGGAGGACGACACTGGTAAAAGTAAAATATATTTTCTATATCATTATCAATTATATTTCGTTTTTTAGGCGGAGGGATTAGACGTTCTACCGTTGGGGTTAATGGGCTTCGCCCCTACCCGAAGAGATGCATGAAAGAAACTCTTCACGCAAACCACTTTTAAGATTAGACAAAATTGGCTTTTTAATTCCATGTTTACTCGAGAATCAATGACGTCATATTACTGTGTGCACTCCCCCCCCCCCCGGCTTTAGACTATTTCCCACTAAATGCTCCATGTGACGTCATATTTCGTTTTCTATGAAAGTTTTTATTTTGCTTGTGTTTTCTCTACTCTTAGCGTTCTTGACAGATTGATAGATACAGATAGATACACAGACAGACAGCGAAACTATTATTATAGATGCATGTTTCTAAAGACAAGTAGCGCTCACATTTCCAACACAAAAATCACAAACTAATGCTCTGTATTTAAAATTTAAAGATATCTTTTTTTTTTTAACAATTGAATCCTAATGAATTTTTTCCCTATCAAACAGGTATCGCAGTATGTTTGAGAACCTCTGGCCACTAATGCTGACAGGTTATGGCCAAAGTGGCAGCACTGCTAACAACATTTGGCCACTGATGATGTTTGCCAGTAAATAGAGGGGACAAAACAAGTTCTTGTTAGAAAATCAAATGATTGTTAAGTGTGCTGTTGTTTTTTTTTTAGTTTATTACTATAAATACACTTAACAATAAAAGAACCATCAAATATTTGATCATTGTCATGTTTTAAACAACAGGAAACTGTTGACTTAAAAACTACCTCAGGCTCCGAATGACCTCAGACATGAACAACACACAGCCATATAAAAGTGCTGTTAAAGTATTGAGATTGTGTGGTTTTTAATGTGGAGAACAATTGTTTTACCACTTGCGTACCGAGAGGGGTGGGGGTGGGTTGCTCCGGGCGGAACGTTATAGCTGCGGCATTTAGTTATATCAAAACTTCAGTACTGAAGAGGAAAAACAGAAGAAAAGGGATACCAGAGAAAAAAAGAGGAATGAGAAGAGAGAAAGAAGATAAAATAAAAAGTTATTACCGTCAAGAAAAGTATGTTCGAATTACCCATACAAGGAAATGTTAAAAGAATGTGTGCATTGGAGTTCTAGGCATGATGATTATTTATTGAAGCACTGGATGAGTTTAGAGTTGGTGACTCAGAAACAGTTCAAACCAGGGGTGATGCTGGAACAATTCTCGATGCGAGTATGTCGAACTCTTTTATAGCATATCTATGTTTATGGAGCCCTCATATAAGAAATTGACAACATACAAAAGCATCTACAGATAAAGGATTTACGATTGGATAGCTACGCAGTGAAAGTGAAGAATCACTCTCAGTAAATATTTTAGTAAAAAAAGAATCAATATAATGGAGAAGGCCCAAACAAAGAAGTCAGTATTGGACGACATGTTTGGCGAAAAAGCCAAATGCCTGGAGAGGAAGCAAGAGATGTTGAATTAGGGGAATGCGTTGTCTCCATGTCTTGACCCATGTGCCGATTTTGAAAGGAATCTGTCATAAGTGCCCGAAATTTTGCTCGACCGTTTCGATCTATGAGTGAGGAAGCAAGTTAAATAAAAACATGTAAAAATACCGGAATACCATTACCAAAACATACTTTTTAACAAATGTAACAACCAAGCTGATTATTATTGTTTTTTTTTTAATTCTTGAATCTTTCTAAAATAAGTACATTGTAAAAATTATATGCTACTTGTTAAATGTACCAAAACAAATTCAACTTAATTTTTAAGTAAAATGAATAATGAAACCACATAGGCTACAAGGGGTAATTTCTAAACAATTAACAAGTTAATTATAACCCTTTATTTTTTATAAACCCACATATTAACTAAAATCATAGTTACTAATCACCATAAACTAACACAAATGTGCATTACAAAGATATTAAAATGCAATGTTTGCAATCTATTGTTTTTTACCACTCCAGCCGGTAGTCATTATAGCTGTTAATGTTTGATTACAGCTGTCTCCTACAATAATTGCAGAAACGACATTAAACCACTAATTATGCAGCTGAAATTTTCCATTAAGGAGATAATTTATTCCAACATCCATGTGTAGAATGTGATGAAATGGATGTCCTGTAAAAAATAATACTATGAAAAAGCATTGCACAGACATGTCCACATTCATTACAACAGCAGCGGTTATAAAATAAATGAAGTAAATAGTACATGGGATATTTGAACTGAATAAGAAACCCCAAACCCAAAGTAAATGTTGAGCTCATTCTAAGACTTTTAAATAAGTGACTGGAACTTTGCCACGTTGAGAGCCACGTTCTGCCATTAGCCAATCAGGATCCAGACCCTGCACTTTGTAAACCATTATTAACTGAAAGAAAAACAAAAAAATTCATATAGAGGGACAGTTTTCAAAGTTGAATATTGTATTTATAAGCACTAGTTTTTAGATAAAATCATAAAAGTAAAAGGGGACTTTTAAAAATTGAAAACTGCAAATTATTGACACAACTATGAGAAGTTAGCTTGAAATAAATAGGACAACTGAAGCTTAAATGCTGATACACAAAAGAATAACTGTGAATTATGTGCATCTTACAGTATTTCAATAATAAAGTTCTCATTACTAGTCAACAGTTTTACTAGCTAATAAAGGAAATTTGAGTTGTAGTAGATAAATAAAACTAATATTGTACTATACAACTATACTTAACTAAAATCTATTCATAACAGTGTTTCAGGGGTTTTCAGGAATGCAATACCACAACCTACAGAAAAAATCCAGACTTTGTGTGTGTGTGTATGTATGTGTATATACATATGTATATATATAAGTATATATATATATAAGTATATATATATATATATATATATATATATATATATAAGTATATATATATATATTTAAGTATATATATATATATATATATATATATATATATATATATATATATATATATATATATATATATATATATAAGTATATATATAAGTATATATGGGTGTATACATATATATATATATATATATATATATATATATATATATATATATATATATATACACATAAGTATCTATATAAATATGTTTGTATATCTATGTGTATAAATATATGTATGTATTTACAAGTATGTATATATTCATATGTATGTACATATATATTCATGTGTATGTACATATATATTCATGTGTATGTATGTATATATTCATGGGTATGTATATATTATATCTATCTATCTATCTATCTATCTGTCTGTCTGTCTGTCTGTCTGTCTGTCTGTCTGTCTATCTATCTATCTATCTATCTATCTATCTATCTATCTATCTATCTATCTATCTATCTATCTATCTATCTATCTATCTATCTATCTATCTATCTATCTATCTATCTATCTATTAACATACATTTATATGCAAATACACATAAATAAATAAATAAATATATATATATTATATACACACACACAATATATATGCAGATATTCAAAAGTATAAACAGTAAGTTTTAAAAAATTGTTTTAAAAAATTTGGTGGAGACTGATTCAGTTCATGGGCTGACAAATCTTAAGCACCCACACACACAGTGCCAAACATTTTAAATTGATCAAGTTTTAATAAAAGACTACCAACTATGGAATTTTAATTTTAAGTGACTTATAACTTGTTTTTGCCAGAAAATCCACATTTTCTTATTAAGAATAAATATCAACACAACTAATTCATGATGTTGTCTATATTAGTAATATAGTATAAGCTTACTTTAAAATTGTATGAGCATCATGCACCAATAAATTTTTTTTTTTCTAAAAAGGTTTTCCCATTCCTTTGGCCAAAAAAATTAAGGGTTTTTTTTTTTTTGTTGTGTATACCTTAGTAGTAATGAATTTAATGAATAGGTTCAAAGCCAACAGCCTAAAAAGTTCATGGAATACTGTTGTTAAAAATTCTTTGCATTCTTCTTAGTTAATTTTAAAATTTAATTTTGTGTGTGTTTTAAAATAGATTCCACAAACTTTTCATGTTCCATGTTTTTTTGACTCACATATAATTAAACTGATGTTATGAGAAATTTCATTATTTTTTTAACCTGGATGAAGTGCCTCATGTCTAATGAATAAAAAAAACCCATTCCAGTCTCTTTGTTAACTGTTTTATAAATGGTAAGCAGTCCACAAAAGTATGGACAGGGAAAAAAAACAGCAGAATTAAAAGATGGATGCCTTTACCTTTAAATGGGTAGTCAAGAATTTAAAAATTACACTAATGCACATTTTAATTTTTAAGTAATTTGACTTCTAACAATCTCTCTTTGGATACATCAAAGCTGTTTAAAAGAAACAACAAAATCTGATTAATCCCCGTGGTCTGTAATAACAAGGAATATATTTGATACATTTAAACCTTCAATTAATTTTTAACAGTTTTTTTTCTGTATAGCTTCTGATCCAGAACTTAATTATAAAAATAAATTTTTAAAATGGTTTTTGCATAAGGTCCACATATTAAGGATTATTTGACTGAAGTAATGGTAAAACTGATGGACACCAGTCTAGGAGAAAAAAGTGAGTACAAGAAATGGCTATAGAAGGTAAATTGTTGTTGGCCATTATTTGTTGTGCAATTGATAGCATTCAAAATTGTAGAAGACTCTATGTTGTTTACCAGTCATGTTATGAAGCTAGTGTTTGAAAAAAGTGGCTAGATTTGTACTGAAATAAAATCAAGCTTATTTAACTTATTTTCTATAATTACTTTAAGAAAAGAACTTATTAAAAAAGCAAGTACAAGAGATCTTGAAAAAGCAATTAATAAAACTGTGAAAGCTAAAAGAATTGAGGATTTTTCTTTTCAAATGCTAAACTAAGGTTTACTACTTTTTTCTAATATACTAATTTAGGTAAGTAGTATGAAGCTGTCTTTTTTAAAAGCATTTTAAAGAGAAGTCATGCAAAAACCTATTACCTCATCTGCTAGAAGAGATAATTCAGAACTATCTGCAGCATCATAATCGTACAAAGCTTTAGCCTGTCGCTTCTCTGTGGGTGTGGGTGCTGTAACCTCAATGGAGGGTGGGGCAGAAGGGTGTAGGGGTGCTGGCAGAGTGCCAGAGGAGATGTTGTTGTTTGAGGAAGAACCACCACCCACTGAATAACTGTAAACACAAAAGGAAACAGCGAGTGCACTAAGTAACACTGTTTCTTAATACAAAGAGAACAATATAAAATACAGTCAAAATGATAAAATCCTCAAAAGTTGTTTTCAATATGTAGGATGAGCTAAATGTGCAAGAAATATTAGTGCACATATTAGTTTACTTTCTAGTTATTTATCACAACATTGTAAATTAATAAGCAAAATTAAGTTTAGCACAATAACATAATCTCTAAAATTAATATAACTATTATTAAAATTATAAACACAAATTTCGCTGAAGAGTCAAAAATGTATAAAGCACTTACAAAGTAAACAAAATATTGAGCTGGTATACAGATGATAGTAAAGCAGTGTATCAAAGCTTAAAGCATTTTTGTGTAAAATATGTATCAATATATGTTTCAACTATTTTTAATTTTTAAAAAATTTTGTTTCAAAATTTACTAATTTTTTAAAAATATTATAGTAGGCCTATACTTAAAAAGAGTTTTAAGTTCTGAAGCTTTAAACTAATTTTTTTTTATAAACTCCATAGAATTTGACTCAATTCAGTTTTGGGGAGACTCACAAAATTAAGAAAGCTTAAGATAAACAGGGGTCGTCCATAAATAACGTCACAATTATAGTGTTACACAGTGTGACGGCACACTTTTGCATTTTGAAACTGAATTTTAGCCATTATTTTGTGTTTTAGAAAACTATTTTAACTCTCAGGTGCCCCACAAGGTGCTACTTGGCTCCCTGGGCTTTCCCGTGAGTGCTATGGCGCATACGTTCATTTTAAACGTTCATGATTAAACTGAGCCTGGGGCAGTATGCGGCACACCTGCAGTAGTGCAACCAGGGCTTCAGAAGCGCACCTCTGCATCCCTGATACATGGGCAGTTGCCAAAGTGTGTTCTATCTCACCATTATGAAGAGTGATTAATGTACACTCAAGGCTTTCATACACCACTCCATGGGCCGTGCTGAGCGGGGACGGGTATGCTAGTTTAAATATAAATTTGGTGGTTCTGTTAGGTTTAAGAAAATTATTTCTCTCCCATGTATAAGCTTCAAAGTTGAATGTAACTCTTCCATCATAAACATATTCTGAATTCTATAACTTCAAAAGCAGAACTGTCTTTTTTTAATAGTCATTCTAGCAATGAATAATTTGATTGCCACTGAATATACTCCTATTTTTCAGTAGCATGGTTTCCTGACAATAACATGGAAAACATAAAAAATTAAATGTAACTGGTAAGCATATAAAATGAAAACAAGACAATACAAATGATAAAGACATTTTTTTAAAAACTGTGATGGTCTGGTAAATATTTAGGGCATCAAGTTGTCTAAGGTTTTAGAATACAATATAGTTTAGACACAATTAAGACAATCTAATCAAACAATCACAACTCATATCTGGACAGCTTTAGATTGGGTATTTGCTGGAACATTCATATGTATTGTACTTGCCAAAAAGTGACATTTAACCTCAACTTAACAGGAAAACTATAGTGATCTAAATAATCGAGTTTAAAGTTATCGTAAACTGACCTAGACTGACCGCAGCCTTATATAAACTATACATTTTTTAAAGAGTTTTAATTAGATTGACCACTTGCAGATGCGACACAAACCTGAAATTAGGTAAGAAGATAATGGTGCCATAGGCACCTATAAAATACCGGATTCTCATAAAAGTTATAAAGGGGTTAAAATTTGAACCACTTTAATACTCAATTTTTACCTATTAAACAGACGTAAACTTTTAATTTCCCCCGTTCTTTGACAAAACACAAAAAGAAACAAAGAAAACATGAATATTAAATTCAAGATTTTTTACATAAGTTTGGAGACCATTAGATCTAGGCCCTTATCTGTCATTACTAAGAGCCTACGTCAGTATTTTATGTCAAAAATTTAAAGTCGTACATCTAATGGGTTTTTTTTGTTGCTTTTTTTTGAGTAAAAAAACTCAAAATAACCACATAAAAAATCAGATATTTTAAAAAAGCGGTTGTAGAATAAAGTTACATCTCTGCGGGAGATAATCCTATAAAGAACCAGTTTGGTAAAGTTATATCAAGGATGACATCACGTTAAAGAGCCGAATTTTCCCCAACCCCTTATTGTCATTAATAGCTCGACAGCCACACATTAATAGAAAAATAGATGGTAAAATTGAGAGTACACAGTGCTCAAGCATAATCATTTCTTCAATTAAAAACACTAAAATTTATTGGAATAATTAATTCACTAAACTAACTCCTAACTAGAATATTAATAAAAACAACCGCTATAATTTATAATTATTTCAAAATGGATAGTTTCAAAATTGTAACATCAGTCTTTAAAACAACATGATTCCCTTTCCATTTTTTAAAATCCCATAATGTTTATATTAAATTTGGTCATGGTTTGTGTGTGTGGGGGGGGGGGGGGAGAGAGAGGAGGAGGTGTGCATAGCTAAATCATTATATAGAGGTATTGTGAATTACGGAGATGAAATGCAATGTTACAGGGGTAGGAGGTGCTTAATTAGGGATTTTGACATTACTCCCCTCCTGTTAATAACCCTCAGTCATTTTACCAACATTACCTTTGTCAATTACCCCACCTCCCAGGACATAGTCCCCGACCCAAGAACTGCAATAAGACATTACCTACACCCCGATAGTTACCCACTGGTTAGATTAACATCAACAGTAACAGCCAGAGAAGAATACAGGATTTTGGGTTAGGGGAGCTGCGAGTCGAGAAAAAGGTGCCATGTATATATATATATATATATATATATATATATATATATATATATATATATATATATATATATATATATATATTGTGACGTGGCCTAGATGTTCATAGCGAAAAGCGTGTAGACACGGAGAGATTGGGTGTGAGAGTCGCCTCCCCTGACAAGTGTGTGAACTCTAGTGTGTAAGCAGTGTGTGGTATCGTCAACTTAGGGTAGCATGTAGTGAGTGTTTTCGTCAATGTTCACTGTTTCTCTGTTGTAGTTGAAAATTATATTGGATTATTACATTTGAACTGTGTTTTAAATTGTGTTATACCTTGTTCCACTATGAAATGGAAAGCTAAGCATAACAAGTGGGGGCTCGTCCGGGATTTGAACACAACAAGATTTTTGAGAAGTTTTACCCCTAGACAAAAAGGAAAATATCCAGTATCAACAGCAGCGTTAGAGCCGACATGAAAATATCGAATGTCAACAGCAGCGTCACAACCGACTTGAAAATGTCTAGTATCAACAGCAGCGTCACAACCGACTAGAAACTTGCTAGTATTAACGGCATCGTTACAGCCGACTAGAAAACATCTAGTATTAACGGCATCGTTACAGCCGACTGGGAAGTGTCTAGTATCAACGGCAGCGTCACAACCGACTGGAAAATTTCTAGTATCAACGGCAGTGTCACAACCGACGGGAAAATTTCTAGTATTAACGGCATCGTTACAGCCGACTAGAAACTATCTAGTATTAACGGCAGCGTTACAGCCGACTAGAAACTATCTCGTATCAACGGCATCGTTACAGCCGACTAGAAAACATCTAGTATTAACGGCAGCAGTCATCGCCGACGTGAAAAGACTTCGTATCAACAGCCACAAAACTTGTGAACAGTGCTGCAGACATCATGGCCATAAATAATGACATTAAAAATACAGTGATAAAGCTAGGAGAGAAGTTGAGAGAACTTGCTGGCTACAAAGTGGACTACATTAGCATAGCAAGTAAGTTATCAAATTTTAGAGCTACAATATTAGCATCTCAGTCCTTTAGCACATCAGAAGCAAATCATTGCGTCGCCACCAACATGAAAGCTCTAGCTACTGTCCCACTTGCAGAAGACCTAGTCAACCAGACACGCAATCTAGGCAACAAGTCAACAGAGTGGAGAACTAGGTCAAGGGCAGCTGAGCAGAAGGTAACTTTAATCCAGTATCAAGTTCATAGTCTTTTTAAAGATACTAATGAGACTTTAATTATACTTAAAGACTGTGATGTCAAGATAGCAGGATCGAAACAAAAATGCTTGGACTCCAGAGCCAGAGCTGAGCAGAAGAGCCAGAGCCAACGTCAGAGCCAGAGCCAGTGCCAGAGCCAGTGCCAGAGCCAGAGCCAAAGTCAGAGCCAGAGCCCGTGCCAGAGCCCATGCCAGAGCCCGTGCCAGAGCCAAAACCAGAGCCAGAGCCAAAACCAGAGCCAGAGCCAGAGCCAAAACCAGAGCCAGAGCCAAAACCAGAGCCAGAGCCGAAACCAGAGCCAGAGCCAGAGCTGGAGCCAAAACCAGAGCCAAAGCCAAAACCAGAGCCAAAGCCAGAGCCAAAACCAAAGCCAGAGCGAGAGCCAAAGCCAGAGCGAGATCCAGATCAACATCCAGAGCCAGAATACTGTACCAAAATTAGAGTGGTGTACGAACTTGTGTTATCTGAATAGCTTCTAGTTTTCATTGTCATCATTGACTAGATTTATTTCAACATATCTAACTTCATAAAACGAAAGGAAAGTAACATTGTTCTGATGTATTGTAATTCAATTCAAATGCTTCATTGATGACAAATGTTTTTTAAAAACCTTGTTGACTTATAGACTAGACGTATAAAGCTATAAGTAGTTAATTCATGCTTACGTCCAACATTTTATTGTAGAGATATAATTTTTACCCGCCATCTTTTATTTATAGGGAGATTTAAAGCATGTAAAAGGTCAGATAAATATTGTATTAAAATTTTTACTGTACATGTTAAGTAGTTGTGCAGGATAGACCTTAGAAATGCTGTTTAATTTTAGTAAAAATAAGAAACCTCTTTTTTTTAGGGGGGAGGTGTGACGTGGCCTAGATGTTCATAGCGAAAGCGTGTAGGCACGGAGAGATTGGGTGTGAGAGTCGCCTCCCCTGACAAGTGTGTGAACTCTAGTGTGTAAGCAGTGTGTGGTATCGTCAACTTAGGGTAGCATGTAGTGAGTGTTTTCGTCAATGTTCACTGTTTCTCTGTTGTAGTTGAAAATTATATTGGATTATTACATTTGAACTGTGTTTTAAATTGTGTTATACCTTGTTCCACTATGAAATGGAAAGCTAAGCATAACAATATATATATATATACACACATATGTATATACTAGCTGTATGACATAGCTTTGCTAAGGTGAAAAGTACTTTCAAACTTTACTAAGTAGAAAATGAAAGAACAAAACACCATGTAGGCCGACAACACAAAACAATTTATCACATAAAACAAAAAACATCACAAAATATACACACAACACAAACAAAAACAAGAAACACAACCTGTTTTGTAGACCTTGTAAAAAAATAACAATTTGGCATAATGGAATATAATTAAGACAAGAGAAATACAGTAGGGGAAATAATCACTATATTTTTATAGATATGTATAGGTCTACTAATGTTCTTAGTGTGAGAATGTGTTTATTTTTAATGCACATTTATTCAGCTTCCTTCCACAATCCATTTAAATATATGTGCATCTGTACAAGATGCCTGTTGACAGAGGAAGTGAGTTAAATAAAAGCTGGTAAAATTTTTTTCATAAAAAATGTTTTAATAACAAGCTTTTATGAACTAATGCACTAAAAAGAAGAAAATAAATTATAGACTACTATTTAAAAAACTAGAAAGAAAAGCGTGGGTCACTTTAGTATCTATTAGATACCTTCACTAATGTTTAGGAAGAGACCCACGCTTTTCTTTCTAGTTTTTTAAATAGTAGTCTATAATTTATTTTCTACTTTTTAGTTCCTTAGTTCATAAAAGCTTGTTATTAAAACGTTTTTTTATGAAAATTTTTTTTAGTACTTTACATGTTTTTATTTACACTAGAGTTTCATGACTAAAAACCATTGCACGCGATTGAAACATGATGACGCGCTATTGAACGTGATGACGCGTGTAGTGCGGTTCGATAGACATGCATACTAATTCGGTCAAAATTTTAATTAATTCATAAAAAATTAATTAGGCATCCAAATAAGTCAAATTTAATGTCACGATGCATTGTCTTCATGTCTTGACCCACGTGCCAACTGTGAACCGTATCGGTCAAGTAGAAGCGTCCGAATTTTCGCTCCTGCTTTTCGATCTAGACAGACAGACAGACAGACAGAGGAAGTGAGTTAAATAAAAGCTTGTAAAAAATAGCAATTTTTAAAGTTGGAAAATATGGACTACGAAGTTTTGTTTCTAAAACTAGATTCCAGACTTTTTCCAGACTTTTAAAAAAATCCTGCCCAAAAACTAGCTATATTCCAGACTTTTTAAGTCTTAAATTCACTTTTCTAAATTCCAGACTTTTTCCATATATATATATATATATATATATATATATATATATATATATATATATATATATATATATATATATATATATATATATATATATATATATATATATATATATATATATATATATATATATATATATATATATATATATAATTATATATATATATATATATATATATATATATATATATATATAATTATATATATATATATATATATATATATATATATATATATATATAGTCACAAAGTGTGTGTGCTTAGCACTGGTGACCAAAATTAAGAACAATCTATATATATAAAAAGCAATGTATGTTTGTGTGTCTGCTGTCCTTTATGCATTACTACACCTCTCATCACATCGCCGTGAAACTTTGGGAAGTTGTTGAGAATATTCCTGGGGAGGTTTCTGCGGAAAAAAAATTTCAAATTCGCAGGGGTGGCGCCCCGACAAGGCGCGAATTTTTTTCTATATATATGGTATATAAAAATAAAAAACGATTTTGGTTTGGCATCGTTCATTCAATAGCCATGAGACTTTGGGGAGTTCATTATACCACTCTAGGGAAGGGTTCTGTAAAAAAATAATTTTTAATTTCGCAAGGGCGGCGCCACGGGAGGGTCCGATTTTTCTCAATATACGGTATATAAAAAAAATAAAAGTGAATTGCAGTGACACCGTTCATACGATAGGCATGAAATTTTGGGGAGTTCACTATAAAACTCTAGGGAAGGGTTCTGTAAAAAATCATTTTTAATTTCGCAAGGGCGGCGCCACGGGAGGGCCCGATTTTTCTCTAAATATGGTATATAAAAATAAAAGTCGATTTTGGTGTGACACCGTTATCCGATAGCCATGAGACTTTGGGGGAGTTGATTAAAACAATTCAGGGAATGGTTCTGTAAAAAAAATCCTTTTTTAATTTCGCAAGGGCGGCGCCACGGTAGGCTGTGATTTTTCTCTATATACAGTTTATAAAATTTCGATTTCACACCGTTCATCCGTGTACCATGAAACTTTGGGGAGATGATTAGATCACTCAATGGTAGGGTTCTGCAAAAAAATATTGTTTAATATTGCAAGGGCGGCGTCCCCAAGGGGGGGGAGCGATTTTGTTTTCTCTATACACGGTATATAAAAAATAAAACTCGGATGCGGTTCATCCGAGTGCCATGAAACTTTAGGGAGTAGATGAGAATACTCCCGAGAATATTTCTGCAAAAAAGAAAACTAAAGTTTCTTATGGGCGGCGCCATATAGGGTACAACTTTCGTCAATACACGTTTTGGCGCTCAAAGTTTTAGAGCGACTATGTTGGCACTTGGCATCCATTAATCAAGCGTCCTGCATAGTGGGTAAGGGGTACTATTATATTCAGCGGTAAAACTACAACAGACTTCTAAAAATAACTTTGTAACTCGAGAAAATCCTTCTGTGCAGTTTCGTCACCTTGCGAAAGATGAAAAAATAACTTTTTGAATATGAGGAGCCTACTGTAGAGTTTCGTCACTTTGCAAATGATGCAATAAGCATCTATTATTAGACAATCCAGTCAGAAATTGAGATCGAGCATCTAATAATAGACCATTAGTAACGCTAGCATATTGCATCAGTCACACTGATATTTAAAACACTTCAAATAATTTTTTTACGTGTTAAACAAAAAAATCCTGTTCATTTGTGTCACTTTAGCGAATGACGAAATCTGCATCATTATTAACAGGATGCTATTTGGCCGATGGCGCCTGTTAGTTTTAACGAGCCAGGGGTCGTACGCCGTGCTTATGCGGTAGTGTAATCGGGGGTGGGGGCACTGAGAGCGCTCCTCTATGTCTCTGACACAGGGGCGGTCACCGAAGTGTGTTCTACCATATTATTTCGGTGAGTGATTAATGTACACTCAAGGTTTTCATGCGGTAGTGTAGGTAAACCCGTGTCCTGATATTTATGATCCAAGTGCAGGCATTGTTTATATTTAAATAACTCATTTTTAGAAAAGAAGGTCACGCGTCTAAGAACATGTAATTGATAACGCGTTGGTGAAATCATTCTAATATATTTCGTCAAACTTTCTTCTATCCCCGCGGCAACGCGCGGGGGTCGGGTACGCTAGTCTTACATAAAAAGGAATTTAAAGCAAATAAAGCATTTTCCGCCATATTACATTTCATGAAATTTACTATAACAAATGCCAAGCAGAACATTTATTTTGGTATTTATTGCTAGATTTGGAGAACTAATTGAAATTTTTTTCAACTCTTTTTAAAATATAGTGTTGATTTTCAAAGATCCCTAATATTTTTCACATTTTAGTACAAAAAGTAACTAAAACAAATGCTGAAGGGACATATTTTTTTTTTACAATTCAACTTTTTTTTTAAATTGTGCATTTTTAGCGCAATTTCCATACTGACATTTGCGATTATTAATTCGTTATTTCTGGATGGATGGATGGATGTGTGACCGCAGCTTTAAGTCGTATCTCAACTAGTTTCAAAGCAAATATGTTAAGCAAGTTCCGAGGATGATTGTGGGCCAAAAAAATTCCCACAATTCCTTCCTGGATTTCCCGGAAAAGCCAAAAAACCTCGAAAAAATGCAGTTTTTGGCCCATATCTCGGCAACCAGACCACTTAGCGACTTGAAACATTTACCAATCAATTCCTGCCATAATTTAGAACAATATTGCCGAAGAAAGTTTTCAAAAATATCCTTTCGTTCGGTCAAAAAAAATTAATTAAGGAAATTATGCTTAAATTGTCACTAGACTTTTTATTAACTTGTTTCTTTTTGCTAACTATAAATACCTAGCCAAAGTAATTTTGATAAAAGTGTAATGGCCCAATGAGATGAAATTTTTTTTAATTGAAGGGAACAATTTCACTATAGGTGGGATAGTAGGCATGTAGGATAATAAATATATTAAATTTTACTATATATATATATATATATATATATATATATATATATATATATATATATATATATATATATATATATATATATATTTATTTATTTATTTATTTATTTATTTATTTATACATATAATTTCCTGCTACATACATAATTTATACATATATATAAATCACACTCTCACTCCAACTTAGGGGTTAATTAAAAATTGCAGCAGTTTTCTTCCCAAATGAAAACAAAAGAAAAAAAAATAAGGCATGCTTTAATCCTCAACCCTAGGAAAAAAAAGATGACAGGGCTGTGGAGTTTAAAATTTTAATGAAATGGAGAAACAATTTTTAAAAATTGAGTGCCTACATTAAACCTTCAAAAATGTTTAAGACTTAGAAAACAAAACAATTTAACTTTTTAAGTTCCTAATTTAATTAACTCGAAAGCCCATTTCAGTGTATATTTAATACTCTTTAGTTTTTGTTAAGCTAATTATTAAGATTTAGAAACAACAAGCAACAAGTCAACAACACTTAATCTACAATGCTTACTTTACAATCATTTTTTAACAATGAAATGTCAATATTTCAATTCTTTTACCTTAAGAATTTTCATTTTATATTATTGGTATTGAAAGCTGTGTTAAATAATTAAAATCCTAACATAATTAAAAGTGTTAGAATTAAAATATGAAACACTGTAAAAGTAACAATGAACAGAAAATGTATGTAAATAAATTACCCTCCAAGTTGCCTCTGTAAATCAACCATGTACTGTTGGCATTGAGCAAAGAATGTCATTTGAGCCTCAATAAACTCATTTAAACATCTCAGATGATGAGCCTATACATAGATTAAAATAATTTTTAAATACTTTATTTTTAACAGTATAATTAATTCACGAAGGTAAGTGCATGTTCCACATACTGTTAAACTATAACTTTTATTTACTTATAAGTTGGTTACTCAGTTCTAGTTCTCTTATAAACCTTTTAAAATAAAATATGAACAGTTTGAATCTACTTTAATTTATTGAACAATGGTTATTATATAAAAATGTATACTTGAACTTTTCGTACATGAGTACTATTTATACCATCCAACAATATTCTGGTGATTTCAGCTTGTCTATCAAATTCTGACTGAGCAATCCGTAGATCTGTCTCTGCCTAAAATTTAAGAATAAAAATAAACATGATTAATTAGGTATGCTTTTTTTTTTAAATAAAAAGGACCAACTTTAATTGATTGTTTGAAGATTTAACTTATTAATCTTTATTTTAACATAGTTTTTTTAATAAACAAAACTGATTAGCCATTGATCACGTGAAGTTGTGAGGATCTACTTTGTAATTAATATAGAACTTCATGAAAAGAAATAAAATCAGATTTAACATAATATATCACAATGTGGGTGTTGTAGCTGCATGTAAAATTTACTCTTTACATTTTCATTTTATTGAATGCATGTGTTTTAACTTTAAAATTGTCCTACAGTTAAAAATGACTTGATTTTTTAATTTTGTTTAGCTTTATCTGTTTTAAATAAGACACATATTACTACATATAACATCTGTGCTTTTCTAACATATTTTAAATTATTTTTATCTCAGGAAAATGAATTTGTACAAGGTTTATTCACTTTTAAAATCTAGTCCTAGGCAATCTCATTTCACATGATAAAAAAACCCATTAAAGACAGCATGTTAACAACTGTAATGTTTGCACTAACTAACAAGACTTCTCAAAGTGCTTCAAGGAGAAAGAGTAGGCAGAGAGACAAGATTAAAACAAAGCAGAGTAAGCTCAAGAATAGAAAGATTTAAAGAAGTCCATGGTAACAAAATCATAGGGTTTTGAAAAACTATTTGTGCTATCTCATGATCAATAAAGATTATCAAGGCTAAGGAAAAATGAATTTCTTACTTGTACAAGCATTACATTTACAAAGCACAGGTAATTCTTATATTAAGCCATTTACCTCTAACACTATTTATTTCTTGATACCATAATATATGGCATTAATGCAAACAAAAAAATTTCAGAAGCTATAATAGGTAGGCCTACTTTGTTTTGCTTTTATAACAAAAGTAATCTTAAAGCTTTTATTTTTTTTTTAAATATACTATATAAAAAAATTGAAGCAATCAAACACATCTTTCAGTTTTAAGTTTAAGACTTGTTTCTTAAATTTTTAGATAAGTTAAAAAAACTTGCTTTACTGTTTAGGAGCTAATTATTGCAAAAACAAAAAAGCATACCCAATTACATACAAAAGGTTAAGATCAGACACAAGTGACTAATACAAAACATGTCTATTCCACAAAACAAGCAAATTAAACTATGATTATATTTTTGGAGCTGTAAACAAATCAGGCTTTGACTTAAATATTAACTGAGATCCATCATATCATGAAAACAATCACTTACTTTAGCAAGATCATCCTGGTGGGTGCATGTGTAAATTGTGGAGAGAGTGTAAAAATAATTCTGGTCAATTTTATAACATTTAAATTGCTTGCCAAATTTAATATGTAAAGTCTTTTAATATCACAATAGAGTTTATATCTAGATCTACAATATATGAATGGCTTAAAAAAATTGTTCTGTGAAATGCTCAAAAACTGACTTGCTCTAGTTCTGGAATGTCCCTCAAATTTTTATTAGAAAGCAAACACCTCTTAATACACCCTTTAACTAATATTAAGTTTTAGATCAGTTATCTTTATACATTAGCTTTTAAACTACAAATAAATCACCTGAAATGTAGCCTACCTACAAAGTTTAAACAACAGTTACAATGCTCTCTATTAAACTAGCTAAAAATGCACATCAAACAATGACTTTATATCATAAGCATGCAGAAGAGAGATGACAGAACATATCTATTTCACGTAAAAATAGGACTATTTTCTCATAACAACTAATCCCCTTTCAAAATTAAATTACATAAAAAAATAATCATATAAAATGCAAAGTAAGAAATTTATAGCAGTTTTAAATTTTTAAAACAAAACAATATTTTGTTAGTAATTCTAAGTTTATGCTCGAAACAAATTTTTATTAAAACCTCAAAAAACAAAGCAAAACAAATAATGTTTAAAAAATTTTTATAACTAAGAGTGTGCAATAAGAAAACAATTACAAGAATGAAAATTGAAAAAGCACATTTAGATAACATTCACTTTTTTCGGGTAAGTTTTATTTCTACTTTTGTTTTTAATTGTTTATTTAACAAATTACTAGCTAATTATTTGAGTAGCAAATTCAACAACAGCATCACAGCAAACTAATCAACATAACAAGTTTAGCAGAACTATATTTAGTAGTAGCTAATCTTTAATTTTAAATAAATAGGTATAAATACAATTTTATAAAACTTTGTTATGCCTGTTAAGAAACCGAAATTGACAAAAAGAAATGTTTTACAATTTCAAATACAATCTTTAAAGGCCTTCACACTTCATTATACCTCTCTTGATTTAAATTTTCTTTCTTAAAAACAGATATATTTTTGTAAAATAACTCATAAGTAATTATTCTTAAAGATGTAAAATAATTGTCAAAAATTTAGTTTTAAATATTTATTTTTTGAAATACAAAATTATAACTTCCCCTTCTTATTCCCCCCCCCCCTCCAACTAGAGTGAAATTTTGTTTGGACAGCCCTATGTCTCAAATATGATATGCACAAAAGCTTAAAAATCTTAATATCTTTTTGAACTATAATAAGCCTTGTGAGTAACATCCAAAACAACACGTGCGTGCTTTTAAACTAGTCTGCATTAACTGCATTCACCACTTTAATTATACATCATTTTAAGTATTGACATTAAACGAAACTGAATTGGGCTATTTTAGAGCTTTTTCAAATCAGTCTTTGCAGCAAGAACATATAGGTTAAATAGGTTGTAACTGGAAGTGGCCTTTTAAATAAAGGTGATGCTGCAATTAATTGTAGTGCTCCCACTGATCACAGAAACTTTCTTTAAGTTTTAAGATAATCATTATATTTTGTGTGGACAAACGCTGTAAGTCTTGGGGTCATTAGCGTAGGCAGGGGTTGTTAGGTGTTTATACCCCTCACATAGACCCCCAAAAAGACATTAGTCTCAGTTTAAGTTCCAGCAATTGGTAACTGTGCCCTTATTTGATTTGAGTGCTGTTTGAAAATAATTGTGATGAAATAATTATATATATATATATATATATATATATATATATATATATATATATATATATATATATATATATATATATATATATATATATATATATATATATACTTTTAATGTTTAGAATGTTTTGCAATGTAAAGTAAACATTTAAAAGAAAATTGTAATATGAATATGTTGGGTAGGGCGGGAGATTTTTTTACTCATTTTATATTTGTGAATTAATAGGTCAGAATAATTATACCAAATAAACCGGGAGTGATCTCCCCTAAACTTTCTCGAATATTCTAAAATAACACTACGGGGGATGGCAACTCGGGATATAGACTTCTAGACATGATTTTTAATCCATTTTAAATACTCAAATTTTTAAAAATAGAATATAATCTCGTAGAAAAAAGAAATGCACACCAAGTGAATGCTAAATAAAGATGTGTATAATAGTGCGCAAATTTATTAGTACTTTATAAATTTACATGCGTTTTTTGAGAAATCGGAAATAGCGTAAATAAGTACTTTCTGTCAACGGAAATTACTCAAAATTTGACAGAAGGTAGAGAATTAGATCTTTTACTTACATATCAAATTTCATTTATCTATCTGAAATAGTACTCAAGTTATAGGCTTTTGAAAAATTCAAAGTAGAAAAAGTACCACTTCCGGTTATCGGAAATCGCTCAAAAGTTGATATGGATCTACGATTTTGATAAAATACTTATATATGAAATTTCATCAACCTAACTGTAACGGTACTCAAGTTATCGTGTTTACACACGGACACACACACACACACACAGACATACGGACAAGATTGCAAAATTATGTTTTTCCGTATCAGTGAGATGTAAAACGTCGAGATTTGCAAAAATCTCGATTTTTTTTTTTTGCACGATTACAAGACTTTCTCTATACTTTGTATATACGAGAAAGTAAAAAACACTATCTTGAAAAGGATGTTTATTTTTATCTCTCAACAAACAGATTTAGAGTGAATTAATCAATTTTGAATAAAATTTGCTTAGTTGGATGAGAAGCCACAATCATTATTCTTGACATGGATGAAAAATGTGTTTTTGTCAATTTTAGCAGAAATTTTTTTTTAAATTTAATTTTTAAGAATCAATGTTATCACGTTTACAAATGCAGGGAAACTGAAATTTCTTTTTCCTTCCCTTTTTAAGGGCACATTTCTATTTACGTATATCAACCCAATATTTTAACCTTAGTTTAACTTAAGTAAGACAAACTTTGATTGGCTATATAATTTGGTTAAATTTTAAATGTTCAATAAATGTATTTATTGCCTAGAAAATTTATCAATTGCTAGCTATTAGTTAATTTTCTAGGCAATGAATACATTTTATGAACATTTTTAAACAGTATGTCTGTACTTGATTCAATAGTTAATCCGAGGGCGCCCCAGGGGTCTTCGACCTGGGGCACCCCAAGCTCCCCCGTGAGCACAATGGTGCCTTCGTTAATTTTAAAAAGTGACATACACAATGGATTCGATGAGTTACTATTATTATTCACTAAATTGAATCTAAAAATTCTCGAGCATTAGTAATGCGTTGATTAAACCCTTATAAAATCTTGTGCCACACTGTGCATATAATTAGATCGTAGCAACACACACAACGGGTACGCTAGTGTTTTATAATTATTCCCCAACAGCAAGTTTAATAAAAACTATTTAAAGTTTTACTGACAAAAGTAAGTGAAAGTTTGTGTGCATTATCAGTGAACTCAGAACAAATTAATTATAATATCACTTCAAGAGTAAGAAATAATGAAAAACATTTGAATTTTCTAGTTTGAACATTAGACTAAATAAATCATAACTTTTACTTTGAACATTAGAATTAATAAATCATAACTTTTAGTTTGAACAGCAGACTTAATAAATCATAACTTTTAGTTTGAACATAAAATTTAATAAATCACATAATTTGGTTCAAAGATTTGACTAAATAAATCACAATTTTTAGTTTGAACAGTAGACTAAAGAACTTAAATTTTTTAATAACTACAATCATCATAAAATACACTCTGCGTGTGACAATTATTTAACAGAACAATAAGGAACTTTAAATTTCAGATATGAAAAAAGCTACTGTAAGGATAAATAAATAAATAGTAAACAGATAGGAAAGGTTTTCAACTTAAAGTTACAAGCCATTGTAAACTGTACACATCAAATTATAGTAATTTTAATTGTAATAAATATATTCAGAAACACACATTCCAGAACAAACAACTGTAATTACTTTTCTAACAACAAAGGTATAAGGCAAAGAACAGAAGCCAACCTCAGCCATGTTGTAAGGATGGCTTGATGCAGCCTGTTACCCAATGACCAAAACAGCATTCCAACATAAGAACATCACCAAAGCCAGAGGTACACAAATTAGAAAATTGGAATAGAAAAAAATGTACTGTCTCTATTAAATATGTACACATGAACAAAGTATAGTTTTATTTTATTTTTCTCAAATATAAAAAAAAAAACATACATAATTTGTAACAAGTACAGAGCTAAAATAAAACTATTTTTAATTTAAATATAGATAAAACAAATTAAAAAAACAACTGTGTTTAATCAAATTAAAAAAGGCTGCATTTCATAACCTCTTTTAATGCTAAAAAGGTTTTCTTGTAATAAAAGACCTTTGATATATGAGACATGTTTCAAGTCATTCAATAAATTATTTTACATATTTTACCAAATACTTCACATCCTAATAAATGTTGGTTGAGATCAGAAAGCTTAATGTTGGTTCGCTTTCAAAAACTGCACCTAATAAACTTAAGTTTTACATAAATTTATATTTTATGTTAATCATTAAGTTGCCACTTTAAATTAAGTTGTCATTAATATTTATGAGATTATTTTTAATTTGACTTAATTTTCTAAAACTTTTACACCTCCAATTTAAACAATTGAAATTATTTGTTAAAAGAAAAAAAAAAACAAGAACAAAAGTTTTAGCAGTTTTATACATTTATAAACCTTAAGCAGAAATGCTTCTAACATATTTCTAATGTAAATAATACGTAAGTTCCATGTTAGAAATGAGGACAGCTGTATTTTTTAAAATTACTATTATCTTTTATTTTTAAAGTTTAGGTACAGGTAAATATTTTGTGTATTTATTTCTTTATCATGTTTTTAGGATATTTCCTTTCTATCACCTCCTTGTCTTCCCTGTGCTCAACTTTAGTGGCTCTAATTGCCGCCATGGTTTTAGGTTTATTGTCCACATCAGTCGATTACTTAAAAAGTAGTTTTTTTAGTGACCAGTGTCATTTTCTCTTACTTAGCCTGTTCTTTTTGGTTAAAATCCATGTTTCTGAGCTAAAACTTCTTGACACTAGTTATTTAACTTATTTTAATAATGCAGTCAAAACAACCTGTGACAAAGGGTTCTGAAAAAATAATACAGACAAAACGGTTCCAACAAAATGACTCCCAATAAAACCTTTTTTCATTAAGCGCCTTCTAAAAATTAAAATAGTTTCTATTTATGACAGTATTAAAAACTTCATAAATCAATGGCAATATATGATTAATTACACCAAATCAATTTCTTAAGAGCTTAACAGCTAAATGCAATTAACTTTGAAATAAAGATGTGTCATCCACACCAGTACAGAGCTCTTGTTTAAACGCAAGATTATGGGGATAGCATGGTTGGATGGTACAGCTGCTAACCTGAAAGTCTGTCGGATATCCCAGAGTCCACTCAGCTCTGATGGGTACCTGACTCATGTCAAGAAAGCGAAAGCAAAGTGTAATCACACTACCCCTTCTTACAGAGGTCACTAAAACAGATAAACTCTATGTCATCTGAACCAAGTATCTTGGGTACGAAAGGGAAAAGATGATGACAGAAGTTAAAATATAGACTAGACATTTGGTTAACAGAATAGACTGTGTTTTGTATTGATAGCCTACAAAAATATTACTATTCAATACACTGCATGTACATCCCCCTTTCAAATAACCCTAACAATGTCAAATCAAGTCAACCAGAGTTGGAACAGCCCACCATTAGTCTATTGTCATAATTGGATAACCCTTAAATTAAAAAGAATATCACTTCATATACAAGAGTGTATGTAAATCAAAATAATCAAAAGCTACATAACTTTTACTAAATAAGGGTGTTGGCTAAGGTAACCGAAATGCATTGAGGTCCTACTGGCGGGGATCCTACTGAATGATGCCTTTTTGTCTAGAGCCTTAGAGAGCCTACTCTTAAGGTTGCAATGACAGGAGCCTTTCTGTTTGGAGCCCAAATAATAGGAACCTATTGGTTGCCAACCTTATTCATGGAAGCCATCAGTTCATTTTAAAGCAAGCTTTACACTAGAGTTCTGGTGGGCAATTATATGCAATGACTAAACCTAACTTAGGGTCATAGCCTTCCCCCAGGTAGTGTACCCTGTGATTCCCAAGAGCACTCTTAAAAGTCCTAGACACGAGTGTAGTTCTAATGGAATGTTCTAACCCACTGATGCAAAGGGCATTCATCACATACTCAAGGTTTTCATAAATGACACCCTCTTGGCATCTGGGCGGTAGTGTGGACAAATAACTAAGACCTAAGAAATGCTGTGCCATTGTTGTTTACATATAAATAACTTGAATTCTAGAAAACAAGTAACATGTCTAAAAATAACAATTGGTAATGTGTTGATAAAATCCTTTAAGAGTTGCATCAGTGCAGTGTGTAGGACTAAATGACTAGTACGCTTTTTATACATATTTGAGTGTGTATATATATGTGAATGTGTATGTATGTATTTATGTGTGTGTGTATATATGTATATGTATATGTATATGTATATGTATATATATATATATATATATATATATATATATATATATATATATATATATATATATATATATATATATATATATATATGAATGTATGTCTTACTGTCCTTTATGCATTACTTCACTATTCATCCTATTACCACGAAACATTGGGAAGTTATTGTCTACAATTTAGCAATTTTTCAAATTGATAACTAAAAAGACTGAACCATAATTAGATGATTTTACCACCTTGGGTCCACTGATTGGGTGTCCTAAACTTGTGGTCAGTGGGACCATCAATACCAATTGTCAACCTACTAAGAGATGTCCTTTGGAACCGTGGTAGTGGTATGACTAGTAGTGCCCCAGGCTCCCATATAATTACTAAAGTACCATGTCTTCATTTATGCTCGAGAGTGCCATACACTAGAGATACAGTGGGCAACTATATTAGTTGACAATACATATTTATATTCTTATAGACTTAAATAAGAGATTTTATGCTTGCTGAACACATTTAATGGCTAGCAATGACCAAAAGATAACTTAAACCAGTAGTTTCCTTTATGGAACATAAAATATAGTATTGCTTGTTTAGAATTTATTGATTACTTTTTAAAATTATAGCATATTCCTTTGCATTTGATAGCTTTAAGAGTGGAACTAAAAAAAAAACCCAACACCCCTTGAAAAAACTTTTTCAGGCCCATATATATATATATATATATATATATATATATATATATATATTTATATGTGTGTGTATGTGTTTATATATATAATATAAGGCTGGTGGTAGAGTGTCAGTTCTTCCTTCCGTCATTGCTATAGATTCTTGAAACATACACACATGCCATGATTTTACTTGCATCGCATTATCTTATTATAATTACTTAAGTTGTTATATAAATAGATCCTACTTAAATTTTTTGATTGTCTGCAAAGTTTTTATTCTTTTGCATAAGTCAACAAACAAACGTGAAGTAAATATTAAATACATGCACATTGCTAAAACATATTAAACTGATCAATGTCAAATATTTTCACGTATATGCTTATAAAAATGGATACATTTTAATAACAGCAGGGTCAAATAAATCAATTAAAATGTTCAATAATTATCCCAGGGGAGGTAATTTACAAAGAAATGCAACTCACACTAAATATTGCTATTTAAGTCATTCTTTTTTTATTCTACCACATTGATTATTATGTTAGGGCTCATAATTATAATAGATTAATGTTAAGATTATTTATATTATTTTCTGCTTAGTCAGCACAGAGTTTTATAGTTTTGTTTTTATTTCTATGATCTTTTTAAAATATCAATTTTTTTGTTTTGTTTTTTGGTGTTATTTAAAGGGATGGTTAAATTAGAGAATGTGGGAAAGGCTCTCTCAGAGCGCTGACCTCGGGGAAAGCATAATGAGATTATGATTATGTGTTTGCGTTTCCGTTTGTATTTTTGAATTTGCGTTTGCATTTTCTTTTGTGTCTATATTTGTGTTTAAATGTTGCGTTTGCATGTGCGTTGTGTTTGATTGAGTTTGCGTTTGTTTTCTTATGAATTTGTGTTTGCATTTTTGTTTGAGTTTGCATTTGAGTTTGATTGTGTTTTTGCTTTCTTTTGTGCTTGTATTTGTGTTTGCAAATTCTACTTGCGTTTGTGTATTCTTTTGTATTTTGTATTTGTATTTGCGTGGTGTTTGCGTTTTTCTTTAAGTTTGCATTTGCATTTGTTTTTTCTGTTGTGTTTGTATTTATGTTTGCGTTTGCGTGTTTCATTGTGTCTTCATTTGTTTGTGTTTGGTTTTGTTCTGTTCCCAAGTTGGGGTACATTTAAAAGATTCACTATGGCGAAGCAAGGGTATGCAGCTTATATATATCTATATATATTTATTTATTTATATATATCTATATATATTTATTTATTTATATATATCTATATATATTTATTTATTTATATATATATATATATATATATATATATATATATATATATATATATATATATATATATATATATATATATATATATATATATATATATATATATATATATATATATATATATATATATATATATATATATATATATATATATATATATGAAGAGTTGATTTTCAAAACGCGATAAGCGCCATTTTTGAAAAAAATGAGATAAGGTGCCCATATTGTAAAGCTACTCAGTTACTATTAGGAAAACTTAATTTTAATCTTCACGGCGCAAAATTTTCATTTTATTTCTATTTTTGAAAAAAACGTTTGGTTTCAAAACGCGGCATTGTAGATTTTATTTAGCGTCAAAATGCGGTATCGATTCGGACCAATCCGTGTAAATATTACTATTTATCTGTGCATGCGCATTAAGCATCTCTAAGTGAAACAATTGTTAAAATGGCGGACTTTGATGGTCACGACGAAAGTGTTGTACTGACATTTAAGTCCAGAAAAAAGAAGAGGTCATGCACAGAAAGAGAAAAAGAAAAGATCTTTCATCATTCAGGAGGAGGAATGATCCCGTCCATTTCGTGTAATCATATTAAAGGATTCTGCAAGGTAAGTTGTAAATAAAACTGTAACTTATCTAACACTAGGCAGGCCTGAGTTTACTTTTTTTAAAACACGATAGTATTACTAAAATTTAGATATCTAGCTTGTTCTTTTATTTGTTTAGTGAAGTTTTGAATGTAAATGTATGAATACCAGTAGGTCTAGGCTACTGTCAGCTCTAGCTTAACATTCCAAAAGTAGGGAGAGATTCTAGATCTAATTCTAGTCTAGATTATCTACTCTACTACATATTCTAGATCTAGTATCTAGGCCTACTATTTTTTCTAGCTAGACGAAAGTTTTAACAATTCTAGTCAATATTATATCTAAACTTCGATTAATCATCTAGGTTGTATGTCCTCGTTTGTCTAGTCTAGCAATAACTTTAAGCAAGGCAAGGGGCTAGCCCTAGCTACTAGATCTAACTAGTAGTATAATTTTTAATATAAAATTAAATCTTCCATTGTAGCAAAACTTACATTTGTATTATTTATTTCAGGCTCAAGATATAACACCTGATGACCTGGTGAAATGCCATGCAGTTTTACAGCAAACTGGACAAAGTGTCACAAGATGATGCTATAGTAGCTTTGCTTGATGCGGACACCACGAAAAGAGTGAATGATCAGAGGAAAAAAACAAGACACATGACCATCAAATACTTTCTTTGTAGTGATGGAAACAAGCTGCAAGTTTGCCAGTCTTCTTTTTGTTCAGCATTGTGTACGTAAATAGCTTTACCTTCAGTTTGCTATATTGGATTTGCTCGTACTGCAGTTACTGTCAATATCCGATTATGGAAATTCTCTTTTTTCAATGTTACAGTGGAATTATCTTAATAATACATGGTTAATATATCCACTTTTTTAGGGAAAAACTGGTACTCATTCAACACAAAGGAGCCTGGAAAAAAGAACTGTGTAAAGGTGGCTAAAAAGACAGATGTTCTTTGTGTTCTCGAAACCGTAGGAGTGGAGGAGAGAATAAAGATTTCTTATGTGGCACTGCTTTGTGATGCTACTGAGGATGTCGCTCATTCTAACTCTGATGTAGATAGTTCCTAGTTTGTCTGAATTATTTATTTTTTCTTGCTTCACTCATTTTTGTTTTCAACCTTTTTTTTTTTTTTTCATTTCATACTATTTCTTTTACATTTTATGATTGTAGTATAAACTAATAAACTTTTTTCTTCTTTTAAAACTATTTTATGTTGACGTTTTTAGTTCTTTAGACTTTGTTAACACAGTTCAACAGTAGGAAAGACAAGCTGTACTCTTCAAATTAAAGTCTCTCGTTAGAGACTTGCATCATTTTGAAAATGGTTCAAATAACTGAAATTACTCAATAAAAACACTTTATAGTAACAGAAAAACATGGTACAATTGTAGTAAGATGGTAACACTTGGAATATAAGTGGGTTTTAATAAAATAATAAACTAAAATATTGGACATTAGATGTATTATCAGAAAAAAATGGATATACAGCGTTTTGTAGCTTAACAAAAGCTGGATATACCTCATTTTGCAACTAAACGCAAATTTTGGGACCAAAAAAAAGCATCTTTTTATGCAGGTACATTTCAAAAACCATTCTAGTCCTATTTATATGAGGGTTATGAACCTAAATTGACAAACAGTTTTAGCAAATTGTACAATGGCTTCGTGTAGGAGAAAAGTGCGATTTTCTCGAAACCCAAATTTTGGATATATTGCATTTTGAAAATCAGCTCTTCATATATACAGATTTATTTTTAGATTTATATAGGGCCAATAAGTTTACAACTAGACTGTCTAAAATTTTTAATTAAATTATTTCTTTTTTAGAAATTTTGTCTGTCATTGTAAAGTATATCCATAACAGAATAACAAAGCACGTAAAAATAAGGGCCAAACTTATTTAGGGCCTGAAATAACGGAATTCTAAAAATACAGTGGTACCTTGACATATGAGTGCCCCAGCATAAAAGATTTTTTTAGATACAAGCTGTCAAGCGAAAAAAAAAATTTCTTTCACATACCAGCGATATATAAGTAACCAGATTAGAAAAGTTCATGGAAAATTAACAAAAAAGTAGCAACTGATTGTACAACTCAGCTATTTAAAGACACTTACCTAACAGAAGCATTCTCAAAAGGAGGAAAAAAACAAACCTCTGAAGGTTTATTTTAACGGCTTGCATGAAAAAGTTGGGGAAAAAGAAAAGCGTGGCGAAAAAAACAGAGTAGCAAAGAGAAAGGCAGTAACAAAAATTAAGCGAAAGTAACAAAACACTTTATAGCAGCATTTTAGGTTTAATGTTAGGTGAAGTTCTGTTAATGTTTAGGGATAAAGTGTATCGTTAAGAGTGTAATAAGTAAGAGAATTGAAATTATGGGAAAAGCTTAGAATTAACAGTAAGTGAACGAGGTGAAGCTCCTCTGCATATCACCTCCATTCTACACAGGGCATACATCTCCACCATTATCTTTTGTAAGCTTAAGTCGGCTGATTTTTTGGGTAAATACACTTTATGAAACCAGTTTAGTTCTTTGCATTATCCTAAAGTGTGTTATTAAACAATATTTTTTCATGTATAAATACACTTTTTTCTTATTTAAACAACAAGTATCAAAAACAATGGGTGGCATTTCGGAGGGCTGGAATAGATTAATGCTATTTCAATTAATGTCAATGGGAAAAAAATTGCTTTGAGATATGAGCAATTTCACATACGAGCAATGTTAAAGAACAAATTAAACTCGTATCTCAAGGTACTATTGTATTTGTAACTTATTTCATTGGTGCCGAAAATTGTAAAGAGTGTATCTTTAAATCTGGCATGCCGCTCAAGAGTATATAAGGCACCAAAGCTTGGTGTGCATCCAGGTATCTTGTGTTCTGTTTATGACAATGTTGTCCTGATTTTGTATTATTAATTTTGTCCAATGTAATTCTTTAGAAAGCCTTATTTAAATAGTAAATAAAAGAAGCAATTGTTTTTTAATTTTCTTAGTACAAAAATATAATGTAAAAAATAAGGATCAAAACATAAAGGCCAGAAAGAATATTTTTTCTCCATTTCAAATTTCTTCATTGACTTCTTAGGTGTATATGCTTACAGATTAGCATTGTGACATAGACCCACAGCACTCAAAATTAAGCAGGCTGCTCAGTTTTAAGGGCATTCCTATTTCTACTTGGCAATATTATACTATAGTGATGAGTTTTAATCTTTTAAGGTCAGAGGTATTGTCCTTTAACCTTATATCCCAGAAACTATTTATTTCATTACTAGATATGTCAGTACCAACATTTAAGCGAATTAAATTAATTCTATAAAGTTTTGTCATTACTAAAATTTTGTCCAAGAACACAGTATTGTTCATAAGACCCTAATTTGACTTGCTTTAAAAAAACCTTTTTCATAGGTAACAAAAATTCACAAAGCAAAGAACAACATAATAACACTTTTTATAAATAATCTAAAGTAAACAATATTTTATTTAGAATAATTATAAGGAAGCTGAAATTTATCTTTTAAAAATTTCAACCTTGTTTGAGTTATTCTTGCTAGAAAGGGTTAATAGATCCAACATTTTGTAATACACAACCTGTACTAAAAATCTATTAAGTTTAAGTAAACCTCTTTTCTACATTCACAATTTGCAATTTGAATCTCACATTTAAACAAAAAAAAAGAAGATAAGTAAAATAAAAAAATTAAATAAAAACACCAAACCTGACTTTGTGATGTCAAAGATTTTGCTTTCCTCAATCGACTTTTGCAAGCATCTAAGTCCAACCTCTTTGTCTCTAGTATTTTTTTTTCTTTCTGAATAAAGACAGGAAGTAGGAGATATATAAAAACTCCAAATGTATACATTTTAATTTTTTTTAAAAATCACAGTGAAACCTCAGCTTTCATTGCCTGTGGCTAATTTAATTTGGTTTATATAGAGTTTTGTCTGTTGCTTCAGATTTAGTTGAACTGCCACTTAAAAAACAATACCTAAACTATCTGCACCTTTCTCTTTTCTTAATTTTGTTACAAATATTTCAGGGTATACTTAGATAAATGCTAAGTTAAATGTTTACTTATTCTTCATATGCCTATTATACTCATAACATAGTAGTTAGTACTTAACCCTGTGAAACCCCTAGGGAGCAAAGAGCTGCAGCTACCACGATTTAGGCAGCTCTCTTTCAACAGTCCTTCTCCATGATTTTCTTAGGCCTGCCCACTTTTTTGTTTCCCAGTGAGATCCTGTCCAATTCTTTCATCACAATATTTCATCTATTTTTCTAAGGGCCGATTCATCCCCATTTGCAGTTTTAGATGTTGAGAATGTATGGAGAATGACTGTAGCCTCTTACTTTTTTTATTTTATAACCCTTCAGGTCATATAGTAGTACTGCCTAAATATTTATTTTGTAGATTCTTATCTTTCTCTGGAAAGACAGGGTTGTGCAATTTCTTAATGGGTGTAGATATGGCTTTTTATGCTTTTGTCTGCATTGATCACATTCCCAGATAAGTGCATTTGTTTCTCTTGTGGCTTCTAAATTAAGCTGTATGGGGAGATTGTTATCATTCTGACAAACTATGTGTTAATTCCATACATTTTTAGCCTGCTTTAGAGGCTTCTTCAGACTGTTCAATTTGGTTTGAGGCAGACATCATCCAAAAAAAAAAAATCATGATTTTTACAGCTTTTTGGTGTAGTTTTTAGTCTTCTGCATGATCCAATCTGTTACCAGTTAGAACATACATACTTTGAAAGGATGTATTAGTTTTCCCTTGCTGATAAAAGTCCTCATATAGTTTCTGTGCTTTGGAAATAAATGGTGGGGATATACCATATTAGCTCATAGGCCTAAAGATAATATCTCCATTCACCTTTTTGAAGTCTAAAATAGTCATGTATAGGTGGGATTGTCATTTTAGTGACTATTTTATAATTAACATAAATGTGGTCTGTTCATGATCTGCTTTGTCAAAAAAAACTCTATGGTCTAGTCAAATCCGTTGACATGTTTCAATGTAAAATTTGCATTGGCTATTACCCAGTTAGGATTTAGTTGATTTTTTTAAGACATAGTATTAACAAAAACTGAGTTTTCACTGTAATCAAAGCAGACTTTTTTGAAATAAAATTTTTGGAAAAAGACCTTTCAAGTGCAATAAATGATTTTTTAAAATTTAATTTTCCTTTCTGCTTTTAAACATAAAAATATTGTAAAAAAAAAAATGAAAGTACCAAAATTGTTTTCATATCACCCTCTAAAAAGTTGGATAATGGCTGTAAGAAATTGTTAGCTGTACTTGTAACAAAAACTCTTTCAGCATTACCAATTTGTATTTGTGCCTGGCCACATTTTACAAGGGCATTTCCTGAAAGCAAACAATAAATAATTGTTCTAAAAATATTATATCTATATCTATAACTATATATATATATATATATCTATATATCTATATATATCTATATATATCTATATATATCTATATATCTATATATATCTATATATATATATATATATATATATATATATATATATATATATATATATATATATATATATATATATATATATATATATATATCTATATATATCTATATATATATATATATATATATATATATATATCTATCTATCTATCTATCTATCTATATATATATATATATATATATATATATATATATATATATATATATATATATATATAACTATATATATATATATAACTATATATATATATATATATATATATATATATATATGTGTGTGTGTGTGTGTGTGTATGTATGAGTGTGTGTGTGTATACATATCTATTGTGTTTCTTTTTGTTGATGTTTAAATTAACAGTTGAGTTACTTGTAGTTAACAAAGCAAAGGCTATTTGTCTAATTGTTACATGTGTGCATTAGTTATATATTCAAAAGCAGCCTATCTTTATGTAACAAATAAATAAGAGATTTTCTGAATTAACAATAAAATATCTCACCATAGGAAGTGCCAGGCCCAAAATCATTTCCTGCATCAATCATAGCATTTCCAAGAATTTCATATTGTGTAATTCTATCTTTTTTCTTTTTTTCCAATTTTTCATACAAGAGATCTTCCATACGTTGGTCTGAAATTACATTTTAACATTTTAAATCTCACATCCACCCATATACATTTATTATTTTATAGCATCAAAAAGTGTAGATAAGCATTGCTGAATGTGTCTATTATGGTAGTTACACAACAGTACCACCAATACATCCTACTAGCAACTAGCATGCATCATGGTCGTCCACTGATGACGTCACAAACTGTGGGGTGGGTTTTTTTAACTGACTTTTGTGACAATGAACAATGCAAGGGTAAAAAAGGGGTGAGGGGCTGAAGAAATGTAACATAGCATCCTTTTAGTATTTCATAAAATTTAAGTCACTAGACAGATGTTAATTTTCATTACAATTTCATTTAGTGATGAGTTAGGGGGTAGGTAGTTGTATATTTATAATGTCAGTATTTCAGGGTCGGGCCTTACGTGATGCTACTGGGTAGGAGAGGGAGGGCAAAGTCATCTAAAGTAGTGCCACATGACCATTTTCAGACTATCCCCAAAGTTCTCATCTTTTCTATTTTGACCAGCTATGAGTATACAGTGTTGTTGTCACTGAGGTGCATTCTTCGATCCAGCATGTAAATCATCAGTTAGACAGGTCCATCACGTTATTCAGGGAATGAATTGTATTTGATAGTTAATAAAATGCACGAGCCATAAAAAGCATGGTTGAACCTGCTTTATGTTTGTGCTTTGGTCATCAATACCCATGTGGATGACAAAGTATCAATATTGTAACAGCTATTTTGATTTGAACAGGCTCGTTTGCCAAGGTAAAATTTTCTGCATGTTTCTACTTCTAGGAACAAAGTATCCGCTGAGAAAAATTTCCTAACTTCTGTAATTAGACCAATTAAAATTTAATTGTCTTTGTTTTACTATTTCTGTTCACCAAATTGTGAGTGTGTTGAGCATAAAAATTATCAATGAACAGCAAGCAAGTCAAATTTGTTGTCCGGTGTAATGTTACTATAATGTCCTTGAATGACCCAAAAAGTTCAACTTACATGAGCCCAAAACTATCAGAATTGTGTCCCTTGATTTGATGATTATTTTAGCTGCCATAAGTATTTATTTTTACTTCTGTCACAGGGTGTTTTTCACCCATGATGTACTTACAGGTGTAACTCATAATATATTAGTCTGATACAAATGTGTTTTTTCGTGCCCTTATAATGGGTAGACGAGGCATATACCAAGACCCAGTGCCTATGGCAAAAATTCAAAAATGAAAATGGTGATGGTGAAGGTTAAAGCAATGGATAAAATTTTAAAGTTCCTTAAAATGATCAAAAAACAAAATAATTATGAAACTGACAGGGTCTTTTTACTTTATAAAATCCCTAGCTGCATACCCATGTTCCGCAAGGTGAATCTTTTTTAAATGTACCAACTTGGGAACAGAACAAAACTAAACCCAGACGCAAACTGAAACACAATGCAAACACAAACAAAAACACAAATACAAACGCAAAAAAAACAAAAAAAAAACACAAACACAAATGTTAACAACACAAAAGAAAACATAAACATAACGCAAATGCAAACACAACGCAAATACAAACAAACACAATGCAAACAAACCAATGTAAACACAAACCTAAACGAAAATTACAACTCATAACATAAACTCAAACTTAAATACAAACATAACCACATAGTGCTCACAGTCTAGCACTGGACGCCAAATCGCACCCTGCTTGGGCACCGGCAGAACCACCTAATTATCTTATTCCAACAATAATGCCCTCAGAGACATCCATGTATTTTGTATTCATATATATTTTTTTTTAATAAATAACAATATTTAACGTGAGTTCAATTTCTTTTTAAATTACCTGCCCTGTTTTAGCAATGTGAGTGTATTTAAAATTTTCTTCACGTTTTTATGTTGACGTATGCAAAAGCAGGAAAAACTTTGCCGAAGATAAAAAAAATTTAAGTCCTTAGATAAATAGACCCTTCTCCAATACTTATAATAAGACAATGCAATACAAGTAAAATCACGGTATATGGTGTTTACTTTTATGATTCTAGAATCTATAGTGATGACTGATTGGCACACTACGTGGCCGCTTATAGATAAACACAATTTTTTTAAATTACTGAAACTGAAGTGTTCTTACTTGGATTAGGTTGCAATAATGCATCAGTCTGTTTTAGTATAGTTTCAGTCCATAACTTTGTTTTATCAGATCTTTGCATTAAATTTTCAAACTGAGCATCAAGTTCTGTTTTCTCAGCAGTACCTAATTTTTCTTCTGTGAACTGTGGAAGTTAAAGAACAAAAAACAAAACATTTCATATGCTATCTTCTTCATACCTCAATACACTTTTTTGAACATTTCTAAATTGTCTAAATATTATATTTAGGTACATAATATTTAGGGGTTGTCCATAAATGACGTCACACTCGTAGGGGGGAGGGGACTACATAATTTTGTGACAGTGTAGTGAGGGGGAGGGGGGGTTAGATCGTGTGACATCACACTTTTTCATTATAAAAAAGCAATGTTAGAAAATGAATTTTAGCCATTATTTCACGTTTTAGAAAACTGTTTTAATAAATTGTAATTGGAATTGATTAAAATGCTCTATGTTGGCAGAGTTCAGAAAAAGAATTTGGAAAAACATCGTATTTTAAGAAAAATTCAACTGCAATTTAGAGGGGGTTGTAGGCTGAGGTGTGATGCCAATTGAGGGGGGGGGGTCTGGCTTTTTGTGACGATTTGTGATCGAGGGTAAGGGGGGGAGGTAAAAATCATCAAAAAGGCGTAACAACATTTATGGATGACCCCTTATGTAAAATACAATAGAAAATGTGAAAATTATCATCTAACAAAATGGGAATTTTTTAAGTTAAATAATAAACCTGGCATGAGCTCAAATGGGCCACCTAGAACAGAGTATAAAAGCAGTAACGAATGAGAACTATGATGATGAAGTAAGTATAACATAAAAATCTGATAATTTTACCCAGCACCTCAACGGAGAATACAGCACTTCCTTAGACCACCACCACTTATACTATGTAACATTTCTAAGATCCAAGCCTGCAGTCATGAGTCCTTCGGCTCTAAAAAGCAAGTAATGCTGTGACTTCCATAAATGCAATAAGCTCCCACCTATAGTCTTCAGCTGCCCTTTACACTCCATACAAAGCTTGTGATTATCATGTACAGAACCAATGCCAATAATGATGACAAGGTAGACCGCCCCAAGCTCTGCTCTTGAAAGTGATGTTCCGATAATGTTGGACTCATATTGAACTCAAGCCTATACTAAGCTCTTGCATTACATACCTCCTGTCGTACACAAAGTCTTATAGTATTGAGAGTTGAGCTTTTGTTCTGTGCCATGTTGTGAAACATGCCTGCAAGCGATTTTGTCTTGAATTGCATTGTCAAATATCATTTTTGCCAGGAGCTATTTGGTTAGAGCAGTGGATCTTTGATAGAACCCCAGGGTTTGGTGAGTCTGTCTCAGGAGTTTGGCTGAGGTGAAGATGCATGCCTGATTCGTATAATTTACAATCATATTTAGTCAGTGCGGATAACAAGAAGGGTTCTGTGAGTGCGCATGTAGAACTGGTGGGGTTCTGTACCTCCATAAAGGTTAAGAACCACTGGGTTAAAGTCTTATTGTCAGAGGTTATTTTAATCAGGAGTCAATATGTTGGGGCCAATTCGTCAGCAGGCATTTGATGGGTGGCCTTTTTGGCAGGAATGATGTGCTGAGGTTGTTTAACATGTCTCTGGGTAGCAGGCTTTGCAAGAGTTATGATGATTTTCATTTAACATAGCACTGTAAGAATCTTCCCTCAATGAATTCATGCATTTTTTCCTGTTTATCCCTTCATTATATGTCATAAATTACTGACCTGCTTGAGTTTATGTCACCTCCACCTCCCTTACCATATCATGGGTCTACAACATATTCCCAAAAGACACTTGCCAGAATGGACACTTGCTGTAAGGCCAATTTCCGGAATGGACACTAGCCCAAATGCAACAAACGCCTGAATGGACACTTGCCCAAATGTGACAAATACATAAAATTTTGTCTACATAACTGAAGATGTATTCAAGTAATAGGCTTTTGAGAAACCGAAAATAGAATAAGTGCCACTTCCAGTTGATATAGAAATGCAAATTTAATATCAATATAGTACTTGTATATGAAATTGCATCAACCTAGCTGTAACGGTCCTCAAGTTATCAAGTTTACTGACACAGACATATAGACAAAATTGCAAAACTAAGTTTTTCTTACTCAGAGAGGTGTACAAAGTCAAGATTTCTCAAAATCTAAATTTTGTCCATGATTACAAAACTTTCTCAGTTTTAGCGCATTTTATTTGCAGCTACACGTCGACCTCCGGTTAAATGCGAAGTGGAGTTTTATCTACTTACTAAGACTCTATACTTCACATACGAGAAAGTAAAAATGGGACTTGCTCAATATATATAACATGCATCTGACAAAAATTCTATAACTGATATTATCAGTCATTAAATTTTTTCATTTCAAAGGGCAGAATTTAATCTAAATATTAAATAAGACTGTACTTGTAACCAAGTTTATTTAGATCTACCTCTAGACTAAATGGTGAGTTAAAATACGTCGAAATTCCCAGTTTTCCCGGCCAGGAAATTAAATTTAGAATTTCCTGTTTTTTTCCCGGCTGCGTGGAAACCCTGTTATTACCTCTCCCCCACATTATTAGCGCGTCAGATTTAAATTAAATAATAATTACTATTAATTAGCCAACATTAGGGCCTCATTATTAGGCCTTTAGGGCGACCTTATATGGCTAAAATAATGGATTACCGATTCTATTCAGTGGCGGAACTAGAAAAAAAGGGCCACCCCGCAAAAATGTTTTAGGCCCCCCTTCCATATATAAATATATATATAGGCCTATATATGTATATGTATGTATATGTATGTATATGTATATATATATATATATATATATATATATATATATATATATATATATATATACACATATATACACACACAAAATACGAACATAGGATACTCATTGGTGGCCTGTTCGGGTTTTGAAAAAAAATGTTTTTTTCCCAATGAAACAAATTACTACATCATGTCATGTGTGGAAGTGCTTCAGTGTGTTTTGGGAAAATCAGTTTTATGTTATTTTTGCTATGAGTCCTCTCAACTTCTAGTCGGCCAAAAGAATTTAAAACATGAAAGCTTTGTATAAGAAATAGTGTCTCATGTTATGATTATTTTATGTTTTTTTTTAAATTTATATTATTAATTTTAAATACATTTCATTTTTATACAATGTCATTCTTTAGTAAGTACTTTTTAAAAAAAAAAATAATTAAGAGAAGTAATTGCTTTTTAATTTGTTTAGTACAAATCTATTAAAATGAGCTTATGAGCACCCCTTTTACTATTTAAAAAAGGGAAATAAGTCATGGAAGTGGTTTGAACGTTTGCTTATCTTTGCTAAGTTTAATTAATAAGGAGAAAGAGGACTCGGCTTTCACAAAATCCAACCGCAGCTACGGTAATCTTTTTACAGAACAACCATCAAGTCAAAAATGCAAGAAAATAATAAAAAATGTTGGCTATCTATAAAAAATTTATTATGGTCGGCTGTGGACAAATGTCCCCCCCCCCCCCGCGAGGCCTCAACCAACTGGCGGGCTTGTTGCAAAAAGTTAAAAATAAACTCAAAACAATAATATAAACAATCACTTGAAAAAAGTTCAGGCCACATATCACGCCAGCGTATTGATGTGTATCGTGCCTTAAGCCTTAATGAAGATCAACTACATCTACATCTCCCTTCATTATCATTCCTGATAATAAATTAATTACTTCATTTATAACATAACATAATTAAAAATTTTCTGTATAATCATATTGATTTACAAAAAAATTTCGTTCCTTCCCTGCCCTTCCTTACTTTGTTTTCAGTTGCACTTTTATCTCTGTGATTAAATGTGTATGACCCTATTACCATATTTTTTTACTACCAATGGCCTCAATATATATATATATATATATATATATATATATATATATATATATATATATATATATATATATATATATATATTTATATATATTTATATATATATATATATATATATTTATATAGGTCAAGACAGGGACCATGGACTACCATGTGTAGTAGTGTTTTTCTTTTTTTACTTTCTCATATATACAAAGTATAGAAAAAGTCCTGTAATCGTGCAAAAAAAAAAAAAAAAAAAAGATTTGAGTTTTACACCTCACTGATACGGAAAAACATAGTTTTGCAATCTTGTCCGTATGTCTGTGTGTGTGTCTCTGTGTGTGTAAACACGATAACTTGAGTACCGTTACAGCTGGGTTGATGAAATTTCATATATAGGTATTTTATCAAAATTGTAGATCCTGATCAACTTTTGAGCGATTTCCGATAACCGGAAGTGGTACTTTTTCTACTTTGAATTTTTCAAAAGCCTATAACTTGAGTACTATTTCAGATAGATAAATGAAATTTCACATGTAAGTAAAAGATCTAATTCTCTACCTTCTATCAAATTTTGAGTAATTTCCGTTGACCAGAAGTACTAATTTACGCTATTTCCAATTTCTCATAAAACGCATGTAAATTTATAAAGTACTAATAATATTGCGCACTATTATGCACATTTTGTTTTGGCGTTCGCTTGGTGCGCAATTCTTTTTTCTACTAGATTTTATTCTATTTTTAAAAGTTAAAAAAGTTTAAAGTAAACAAAAATCATGTCTATATTCTGAGTTGCCATCCCACGTAGTGTTATATTAGAATATTCGAGAAAGTTTAGGGGAGATCACTCCTGGTTTATTTTGAAATGTTGCCTAACCACGTTTGTGTAGAATTTAGGCATTCGTACAGTAATCAATTATTGAAATATTTGTACCATACTACATAATTAATTTGTTGTAAGATATTTTTTTTTAAATGTATTTTTGTTTATTTAAAATAAAACGATAAATGTAACTCCAAGTCTCTTTGCAGGGGTGGGGATGTCAGTATTTATTTAACATTCAGGCAAAAATGCATGACTTTCTGAAATAGTAGTGATCACTTCGTGAAGTAGGTGAACAATAAGGAGGCTTTTACTACTCAGACATTCTCTTTTCTCCTGTTCATGTAGGCAGTTTCTTCTTGTCCCACGCAATCTGTACATTAACTGATATTTGATAGGGATTTTCTATTTTCGGTACCTTCCATTACTAGGCCTAAATAATATTTGGGA